ATTTTACAGTTAAAATAAATGTTTATCAAATAAAGTTTAATGTTACAAATAATCATGGATCCCTTTAAAAAAATGTAGAAGAACAAACTGTAGGTGAAATCCTCATTTTCAGCACAATAAAAGTAGATAGTCTGAAGCTACATTGCATTATAGCCTTTTAAATATTGCTAATAATATATAACAAAATAATTTAAATGACTAGGAAATAAATATTATTAGTTATAGTGATAGTTTTTATTATTTTCCCTCTGAAATGCATGGCACTACATTGACCAATATTTTAATGATGCTCCAGAGTGTTAATTATTAATCAATATAAATTTTAAAATAGAGTATGGCCATAACAAACATCATTTTAGCACAATTTTTCCAGCAGGGAAAGGATTTTAGACCTCTTCAAACAAATAGTGAAAGTAAACTAGTAATAGTTGTGTGTACTTTGGATAAAATTAGTGTACGTTCGATCAGAATACGCTCGTGATTGAATTGATGCACCTCTACATGTTTCACAGTATATTTAGTGAGCACTATAGAAGCACCCTTTGTGCACAGTGAGTCTGGATACAGACAGGAATTTTTTTATGTACAAATAAGAGGACAGAGTTCTTCATGAAGGGTTTCTCTGTGGTCCGCTCTGGTAGACTCAGACCCCCCTGTGCTCACAAGGACCGGCGTCTCCCTTCATTGCGTCCCGTGGTTGTCGCTTCATGTAGCAGCGGCTGTTTAGAGGGAAAAATTGTGAAGGTCACTAGCCTCCTCCCTTGAGACTTTTGAAGAAAAAGCTTGTTTTTTCTGGAGCACAAAGCAGCTCTTTTGTGATAACACTGCCTCATTCTGCTGATTTAACGTATTACCCACAGTGTTTACCTTTCAATTGGAGCGTATTTTTAAACTACTACTATAAATATAACTTAATTAGCTTGTCGTATTTATAGACATACGTTGTTGATATATTTAGGTGTGGGGAAGAAATACTAACAGAAATACCATAAGCAAGAATTATAAGCCTTTTTTAAATCTGATTAATTTATTAGAAAATTATGAGGTTCTTTTCTTTCTCTCATGTCTCCAAGTGGAAGCTGGAGTCATTTTTACTAGTTTGTCCCTTAAATCAGTGTGAAGGTGTTGTAGGATTTCCCTCTGTGTGATGTTTATGTTGTTTGTTTACGTTTGTGGTAAATGTTGGAGCCAACAGTTTAGCAGTTACAACGGTAAATTTATTTTTTCTATTTCAGTAATTATTGCTAAGGGTGTTGCATCACTATTAATATCACAAACAGTAAGATATATATATCTCAAGGTGAAATTTCACCAGCTACTGTCAAAAATAAAATCAGATATTTTCATTTTACTTCTTGT